CACTACTGTAAAGAAATTGGAGTCTCTACAGTCAAATGACTTTCGATGACTTTGTTTATATCTCACCAAATGAATTTTTTGGGAAATCAAAAGTCTTTAAAATTCAATGGATTTTTACTTTAATGTACTGATATACTGACATTTTTAGCTAGTTTGCCTCTTGTACCTATTAACTATTTTAAATGTATATGTAACTATATAAATATATATAAGTAAATAAACTATTTTGAATATCTCTTTATTATGCACAGTGAATCCTGATTCTGACCTGTGGTGTACCCTGGCATACCTGTCAGTCTTCATTCATCGTTTTTGGAAGCTTTTTTGATTTCTGTACAGAATTTTTGCTCGATAAATTTTTTAAAAGAATAGTTTCATCACTTACTAACATAGTTTAAAAAAACATATTTTCAGGTTTGATACTATTTTGATATTATCGGTATTTTATTAAAAATGTCTTGATTCTCCGGAACTCTGATTACACACTACACAGATGTTTTTGGCTCAGATAAATAACAGTTCTTTAGTAGAAGTATTTTCATGCTCCAAAAACCGTGTGTGTCCATATAATAAGCCCCACCCCTCTGCCTACTTTCATTCCAGTTGCCTAGTTTTGTGCTTTGACAGTGGCTTCCATTATAGATCAATTAAATAATAAAATGAGATAAAAAGTAAATTAGAGATACTTGTAAGAGAGTGAGGGATCACAATACAGTTTTATATTTCCACATAGTTCCAAACATTCATTTTTGCCATTTTTGATATTGTATAAAAATGATCACACTCCTAGTTTGATTTATTTGTTTATTTATTTATTAGCATCAATTATTAATCATTCTGTTAACCTAATAATGTTATGTATCCATAATGCAGTTTTGTTTCGATCATGAGTTTGATAGATTGTTGGCTTTTCATGAGACATACAAGCTAACTTCTGTATTTATTACATACTGCAAATATGCTGGCTTCTGCATTTATATTATCATAAAAAAAAATATCTATATATATTTTTTCATGTTGTTGCAGATACACCATTAAAAATAACTGGACATTACAAAAGTTTGCAAACTTTCCAAACCCTACAAAAGTTCCTTTATTGCATTTACCTGATGAAGAACTAACTATTAAAAGGTTCTTCTATGGTATCCCTTCAAAGAACCCATTTTCAGCACCTTTATTTTGAAGAGTAAAGTAGAATGACTATGAACTCAATATGAACTGTCAGTCATATTGAACCTGTATTTGACCCTGACAGGCCATAGAAAGATAGGGCTCATTCCAGTACATCCTTAAATGACTTCATTAATCTAATCGTCTTCTAATTGGTCAAGATAGCCGTTTCCCTGGTGATTTTTATCAGGCGCTAATTAAAAGAGTCCGGTGAATGTGCAGAAACGAATATGCAGCAGGAGTGACTGACAGGCTGTCAGGAATCGACCCTGAATCTGGGCATGAAACTGCAGCTCGGCTACAGTAAACAACTTTCAGGAACTCATATAAGAAGGAGGAAACCCACTTTAAAATCAGTGTGCATCTTACAGGGAGAGAAAACACAAGCTCAGTGTGCCAGTGACTGATAAATCTTTAATATAAAAATTGTACAAGAATTCTGATACAAATTACAAGAGGTATTTGGACAAAATATGAATAAAATTCCATTTACATCCCAAAACCCTTATGCATTTTATGCAAAAACCATAGACAGTTATGATACAGAAGATACACGGAAAAGCAAAATCAATTAAAAAAAGGACCTTTTTATTTTTCCTTCCTCCAGTCTTGCCTAATGGAAAAATCCTGTTCAGGGCCCATACACTATTCATGAAGCTACCAATGTCACCATTGGAAAATCGAAGCGATGCAAGCTACCCCTGATGTAAATGCACTTTTGCGGTGCCACTCTCCAGCTGTAGCGAGGGCGCAGAGCGGCTAGGTGGGAACGAGGGCCGATAAGCACTAAACAAACAAGACAAGCACAGCAAACACCACCGCAGAACTCAACAGGGAAAAAAAGGTATTCACAAAAGATTTCAAGCTTATTTATTCTTTGCGGTTGGACGAAAAACAAAAAAAAAAGTAAATATTTTGTACTGACTTATGGTCATTAGTTTCTTTTTTCCTCTTCACTTTACAGACCACATTCAAATACCTTTATATTTTACATAAGAATGATGTCTTGCTGTATTTTGACTGTATAATGGTATTTTTTTAAGTACAAGACAAATCACATTTGACTACATTATCAAAGTTCTCTCCACTCTGCAGAATCGACTCTAACACTTCCATCTGTCTCAAGATTTTAAAAGTGTCTCCAAAAATGAATCCTCGCAATAAAGCAAAGCTAACTGCATTCTTAAAAGCAATGTTCCTCAATGGTTCTTGGCTCGGATGTACAGTTCTAGGAAATTGGCATTAACTGGTATAGAACCTTTACATAATGCAGAGGTTCTTTAACTTTAAAAAGGTTCTTGCAACATGCACATCACATTTACATCAATGGTTCTTCATGGAGAGGTTCTTTAGGGAACTAAAAGTGGTTGTTCAAAGGCATTTCTGCAGAGAACACCTTTATTTTTATGAGTGTGAGCATCTCTAGTTTGTGTCAAAGGTGAATTTAAAATGTTCTAAATTTCTGAATAATTAAATGACTAAGGTGTGAACAAAGTCATTCAAAGTGGTTTGATGTGAAATTCTCTATTTTAATTAACTGAATTCAGAATTATTCAGAATTATTCAGAGCAGTGGTGACAGGAACCAGACGCCTGAAGAGTTTAAAGCCTCTAAATGCTACATCACAGGAAGTTATTAGACAAAATGGTTATGAATACACTGGCTGATGTGGCTTGGACAGTAAATTACATGGCTATGTTTGCACTGTAGACATTGCCACCTACATCACTGTAAGTCAGTAATTTCCTTTACAAGGAACCATTTTACATTAAACCACACTGAAAGATTTTGTTTGCCTCTATATTGAAAATGCGTCCCTTTTACATTCAGTTCTCACTCATCCAAAAAGGTGAGATGATGCAGTTTTAGAAGGTTATATTGAGCACCATTAGAAAATGCCATCACTAAAACCAAGAGTCCACACTAAAACAGTAAGTGAAGAATACTGGTTTTCATGTGATGATGTTTTCTGAAGAACTTCAGAAATTGCCTATAATTATATGTATAGTCTCCCAGATGGCATTCATTTTTGCGATTTTATTACCATAAGCCATTTCAACGCTGCCGTTATCCAATGCCTGATAATCTTCAAATAACTGTAGAAAGATCTCCTCTCTGTGCTCTGTCCAAAATTCTGATATTCAGTTTTTCAAATGTGTTTGTAAGTTTCATGCATGTTGATCAATCAAATAAAGAACCAATGTAACATCTTAAAACTGTGCTCTGAAACTATCTAGTGTTTAGGCTGCCTCTTAAGCATGTGTAAACTGGCCTTTAATGGTCATTGGAGCGTCCGGCCCATTGTTCTTTTCTGTACTGATGCTGTTGTATCAGAGTGTCTTCAGCTAGTGGCCTGATGAAATATTAATGCCTCACTGAGGCTTTTTTTTTTTTTTTGCTGTAAAAGCCCTGCTCTGGGGACGGTGGGGGACAGTAATGGCCGGGCCACTCGCGTGGGCACATGAAGCCCTGGTGGTTTTGTCTCTCTGAGGGAGAAAATGGCTGGTCATTTCTCAAAAGCACAGGGCAGCGGGGGGGAAAAAGTGTGGGGGCGGCCGATTACTCTCCAGCAGCAGCAGGCAATCAGCAGGCCAGCCGAAAGGCCAGAGGAACCCTGGCGCCTTTAGCTTTCCTCTTCTCTCTTTCTCTCTCTCCCTGCTTCATTTACCGGCTCTCTGGTGAAAGGACTAAGCTGTATGAAGCTGCCAGTAGGCTCCTCTTAGCCCTTTTTAGGCCATTCTGATTCACTTTCAGTGTGTTAGCATAGATTTCATAGCTATTTACAGCTAGAATTTAACCCCATAAACTCTAAGAGGGTTTATATGTGGGTCCACATTTCTCATAACTGCATCATTTACACATCCGTTTCATAGAAGTTACTGAACCGTAATAGTTTTAAGGGTGATAACTGAACAATTAGCCTAGAGTTTAAGGGGTTAACTGCCAGCATAGACAAAGTATGGCAGCTAATCAAGCAGGCCAGAGTTGTCGTTCTCTCTCTCTCTCACTCTCTCACACTCCTGCTCGCTTGCTCTGTTTCTCTAAATGCAGGGAAGTCTAAACATTGGAACGCTCGATAGGAACGCTTTAAGTTGAGGGTTTGTGTGTGTGCTGATGCAGTTCCTCTCACCAGATCGTGTTTCGGTGCTGTAATGACTGTGGAAAGCCCTGGCTGATTCGCATACATACACTCTTTCAGGATTTTTTTTCTGTGAGCCACTTAGTGCATAACTAGCATTTTTTAGTATTATTATTTATTTATTTTACTCAGTCTGATATAAACCTGAACATGGGACATTTAAAACTGAAGTAAGTTATTAAGTTTTACTATGTTTTTCATTTGAATATGAGCCTTTTTCAAGCTGTAGATGGGTTATTGGCATGGATTTTTTTCCAAGTAATTTTGGAGCATTTCTATTGCTCTATTCAATGTTGAATTTATACAGTATAAGTATATACAATATATTGGAGAAACAAAAAGTTTTAGGCACCAAAGCAGATTGTTTAAAACCATGGGCTGCCAAGAGGAGAGTTTGGAAATGATTAAGGTAAAACACAATGACATGTATTGACATACATAAAAGCACTACTTGTAATAATGTTATTTTTATTTATTCTAGTAATAGAATAAATAACTTTTAATTGTAATTTTCTCAGAGAACTTTTGCACAGTACTGTATATTTTTATTGTATAGTTTAGAAGCTGTTTATAGCTTATTACTGCTTTTACATGTTTGTCTTTTACAGTCTTAAACCTGAATATGGGGTATTTTAAAAGCTGGGTACGGGTTATATGATTATTTGAAGCCAAATGATTTCATTTATTTTAATTTTTTTATTTTTTTCAGTCTCTGTAAATGGGGCTGAATATTTAAGCCAGTTTCAGGCCACCTGAATCAACTTGGCTTTAATTTTTTTGAGGTTTTAACAAGGTGTCAATGAGAGAAGCCTGTCTATTTAACTCTCCCTCTCTCTCTCCCTCTCTCTCTTTCTCTTTCTCTCTCTTTCTCTCTATGTGCCTCGTCCATCACCAGAGGTTAACAACTCCTCTTGCTGCTGTCATCCCGCTGGCCTGTTAGCGCTGTGAGTGCTGCACGCTCTGAGTAGTAAAAGAGTAAGTGTGTGTGTGTGTGTGTATGTGTGTGTTTGAGAGACAGCTGTCAGCAGTCTCCAGAGTGGCATACTCGCGCGGTCCTCTCTGAGAGAGTGGTGTGTTGAAGTGGGCGTCGGTGTGTGACTCCGGGGAGACGCCTGGCTTTCTATGCTCAATTTTCCACTCGCATGGGATAAACAGGCAATTACACCTCCTTTTATACACAGCTATGGCCGTCCCGTGAACTTTAAGCGTGTATTATTAGCCCAAAGTCCCTGTGGAGGCTCTGACGGGGGAAAAAAAGGAAAAGGGGGAAAGTGAGAGAAAACGGGGGGCTCGCAGGCCGAGAGGGAGAAAACAGAAGGGGAAGGAGGAAAAAAGGAAAAAAGAGGGGGGTCGGATGTCTCTGTGACACACACTTGTCAGCAACATTCACGTCTTTGAATGTAATGAAGTGACAAGTGAGTTATTAGACAGATCAGTGGCGGAATTGAGCAGATGCCTCCAGGTACTGTGTTGCAGCACATTTTTAATGATGCTCCATGTCTCTCTCTCTTTCTCTTCCTCCATTTTTTGCTCGCTCACGGCAAAAGCCCCCACCTCACACACTCCTCAAATCATATTGAAGTCTTTTAAATCAAGGAGTAAAAGGGAAAGGAGCATGTTCCCTCAGACTGGAGTATGCAGAACAGACAGCAGCCTTTCTGTCATATCATATCGTACACTCTTAAACAAAGGGGGTTCTTTGGTGAAGCCATTTGATTGTATAGAACCATGACAACTTAAAGAACAATTTTGGTGCTTAGTTGTGGTTCTTTTTATGTGTGCCATTCTAATTATGTTACATTTGCCTCCACAAGGTTATGAAAATCAATTATTGTTCTTATTACTATTGATGTCAACAACAGTACAGTCAATTACAGTCAATTTATGATTTAGTCTATGCAAAATAACATGACAAGATCATAACAAAAGTGAAAAAAAGGGAAATTCAAGCACACACAGTTCTTTGTAGAATTTGGAGAATCTGTATATAGTACTTAAAAAGGTCCTTATACAGCACCAATAAATCGTTCTTCTATTGATACAAGGCTTAGAACTTTTTTATTTTTGGTACTTCAAAGAACCCCTTTTGTATATGAGTGCGTAATATTATATGTTTCAAACTGGCATGCAGAAGCCCTAATGTAAATCATATTTCACTCAGTTCAGTTTGCTTTCAGCACAGATGTGGTCCGGAACGAGTTAACTAACTACTAACCAAGTTATAATCATGTATTCTAATAAGTGTTTTTAAAAAGAATTATTTCACTTTAAACTGAACAGTTACCCAAAATGAACCTCCACTGCATCATCTCTGCCATTTTTCCTTCCACAGATGGAACAGCTGCACACTCTCAAAAAAAAAGGTTCCTGAATGGTCCTTGGCTTGGATGTACAGTTCTAGGGCAAAAAATTATTCATCTAATCTTTACGTTATATAAAGTTCTTTAAACTTTAAATACATCTCACTTTTCCCTGAAAGAAAAGTGGCTCTTCTATGGCATTTCTCCAAAGAACCCTTCGTTTTCAATAATGTACTGATGAATACTGAACAACGTATTGAGGAACGAAGCTAAAAATGAAGACTTTCACTTCATTTGGGTGTTTGAGCCAGTCCAGGATTAAGGAACCACTTCTTTCGTCACAGTTCATAGTCTTTTTCCTTTATAAAAAAAAAGGCCTGCAGTTAGAAAATACTCCGAGATGGCCACTGCTTTCATTCTAGAATAAAATTTTAAAGAGACAAAACTAATTACGGGACACTCACTCACTAACTCTTGTATGATAACAGCGCATGCAGTAGAAAGATTGCCTACTTAACCTGGGAACTAATTGTGGGGATAGTACTTTACAGCCATTAACCCATATGTGTTTACTTCTGTAGCGGGCAGAAACTGACCCATTAATACTTATTCTCTGCAGCGAGATGGCAGTTATATTTAGTCACAAATCCTGCAGAGGAAAATACTTGTAGAAAGACTGTCTAGATACATGTAATAGGCTGGATTACTACATTTGTCCTGGTCAAACATGGGCCTTTATAGCTGTTTTCTTTTTTTTTAACTGAATGTTTGTGCAAAACTGGCACATTTATGCAAAGATACAGTAAATTTTCCCCCCTGGCACCGTAGCCATGAATAACTCAAACACTGCCATGTTGGAGACCCATCATTGCAAAGTGTTTTCCTTGTAATAATATTACACATCCCGCTCATATAGTCGCAAAGTGCAAAACTGAATTCCGTACTAAAGCTATAAAACATAAGAAAACGAGTAAAAGAAAAGTATTCAGGAGCCTGAAAGCATGCCAGCTCCCTCCGCATGTCTCACAAGTAGATAAAACTAGTCACATTTTTTTTTTCCTTTTTGTTCTCGGTTAAAAAGTGTTTTTGTTTTTTTCTTTTTTTCTTGTTTTTTAAGCTAATATAAATGATTCAAGCTAGTAAGATGCTACCTCTTCTCACCTACACTTACTTTGAGCTGGAAGTATTGTACTGTAACATAAAATCGAACCAAAAAAAAAATGGAAAAAAAGGAAGAAAAAGGAAAAGAAAGTAAGAGAAAAAAAGTTGCAAACGACCATCAATACAATTGTTTTACACCAAAAAGCCTCTCAGGACATTATTTACAAATTTAAGCCATTCATGCTTAGGTACGGGATTTCTTTTTAAAAGCTATCATTACACAAATACAACAAGGAGACTCGTTTTTCTCATTTTTTTTCTCATTATTATCATCGTTTCCGCAGGCAACAGTCACACACAAAGAGTCTGAGGAGCTTCTTTGGAGTTGGACGAAAATTAAGAATGGGGTGATGGGAGGGGGGGTAGGTAAAAGTTGGAGCTGTCTTGGAATTGCTCCGATGAAAGTTCTTCCAAAGAAGGAAATATGTCAAAAGGGCACAATGCTGATTCATAGTCTGCTTAGAGTTGGAAAGAGAACCTTTTTGAGAATTTTTGAAATAACACTGAAGTTTTTTTTTTTTTTTTGGACAGGCATTACGGGAGCACCCAGTCCACTTTTTTTTTTTTTAGCAGGAATGATGCGATAATGGTTTTATTGAGTGTGTTAAGCAGGGGTACGGACGGGGAAGGATAAAGTGGGCTATTCGACCATGTTGGAAAAGGGTGTGTTGTTTTTGTGCAGGTTCGGATTCTGGCTGTGCCTGTTCCTGCTGCGAACGGAGGAAAACATCATGTTGCAGCCGGGCACTTTGCACTTGTGCATCTCCCGCAGGTGGACAGTCTTATAGTGGACCCTTAGGGTGCCTTTGTTGCTGTACATTTTGTGGCAGATCGTGCACAGGATGCCCCCGCCCACGCCGTTATTACCGCCACCGTTACCACCTGACCCTAGGGACGGAGAGGAGGCGGGGTCAGAGGGCACAAGCACCTCCCCCCTTGTCTCTCTGGCCCCTCCTTCCTCGTGCCTGCCCCCCAAGTGACCCTGGCTGGCCTCGTCTCCTTCCTCGCTTCCCTCTAGGTCGTCCAACAGGATTCCCTCGTCGCTACCTTCGTCCGACTCATGCGAGGAATGCACGCTGCCACTGGACTGCACGCTCGACGTTGTGCTCAGGTCCAGGACCACTGCGTAGTCGTCATTGCCACGGTAACCGTCGCCATGGGGATACTCCGTGCTGACAGGAGACCCTGCCTCTTCGTTTCGGGCCATGTTTCGGTGAGCCCCCACCACCCCCTCCAGCCCCAGATGGTGGTGGTGGTGGTGGTGGTGGTGGTGGTGCCCACCCGCATAGATTTTGGCCAGAAACTCGGCACGGAGGTCCTTGGGCAGCAGCGTGAGCTGGGGGTCCAGGACGATGTCGTCCAGTTCTTTGGTCAGCAGTTTGCGGTGCAGGTTGATGTTGGAGCTGTGCCTGCGTTGGGGAAACACAGAAAGCAAAACGGTTCCAAGAACAATTTTGACTCCAAAATGCCAAAATGAAAGCTGATTGTGATTTAATGCCCTCAACTCTTTGATGCATACAAATCAACAGCAGTGAAACAAGCTGTACCTGCCACATGGTACTGTTTTCCTGCCCTTCCAAGTTTGTTTTTAGCAATGATTAATTGGTTGCTATGCTGACAGTGATGCTAATGCTAGGGCTAATAGCTTTATAATTCACTAACTGAACCCTAATCATACATTGCCTTCAGAATATCTGGACACCAGAGATTTACCTACTTCCGTTTGGAAGGTTAATAGGAGACACACGGAGACTAAAAAGAAAGGGGACCTCCTCCACTTATGGTTACAGCGGAGAGTGAGTGGCGCTAGCTCAGATAGCGACCCGCTAACGTGTTTACCCCTGTCAGCGCGTCTGCCGGCACGCTCAAATCCAATTGACTCTTGACTCAATTAAATACTCCAGCACATTGAATGGGAGTTTATCAATTGATTTGAGCTGTGGTAATGTGATAATCGAGGGGAACTGGATAGCGTATTAGCACTGACTCGGACAGCATTAGCACATTGACTCACGCCTGGAGGTGGCCTAATCGAGGCCCATAAACGTATCGTTCATGTAGCCCTCGCTTTAATAAAGATGGGCTTTTCTCTCACCCGAGTGCCATATCGCATAACACATGGGGAGACAGAGTGCCATTGAGCCAAATCAACTTCAGCACAAAATGTCTGATCATGCAGCACTTTGTCCATTCCAGTCCTCAAAACAGCATGGATCAAAATCAGTAAATATGAATTATCAATGTGTTTCATAGCAAACAGAAACAGCTTGAGCGCTTGCATTAAATTTAAGAACAAAAATGGGGAAATAAAACAACAACCAACAAAAATCAAACAAAAACACTCTCAACACTGCCAAACAGCAGTTGCCAGGACATTTTTTTTTAAAATTTGAACTTAAAAGTGATTAAGAGGAAATAACAAAAAAGAAAATTACATGGTTTCAAGGGTCCGAAATCATGGGGGTCCATGCAAAAGGGCAGTTAGGTAACTGAAATGGTAGCCTAGGCGTGACTGATAAATGGATTGCACAGTGTGTAGTAGAGCTTACCAGCAGTGCCATGGTTGATGCAGTCAAAAAGGGTCCCTTTTCTTTAATTATTTACTTCCCTATCCGACATTCTCCTGCAAGAAGTAAAAATACATTCAATATAATAGAGGGACCCTTTCTGTTCATATAGAGTTCATACGGCAGCCGGCCACCAGAGCATCATCAGCATTGAGGAGCATGGCGTATCCATTAGCTGTGGTTGTCAGCTACTGCGTTTGTTAGCCTTTGTGTGGGTGTGTGTTTGCATTTGGATGTGTGTGCGTACTTGGGTGTATTCACATGGAAGGCCTGTATCTGTGTGAATATTACATCATTGATTTTAAAATGGCTATTACAACAGTATGAACTGCCTTCAAGGTAACTTTTTAAAGATACACTCTTTTATTACTGTAAGGTGATACTCCCAAATGCCAGGCCCTGCTTCTGTTTTTATGTCTTTTTATATATAAATATATAAATATACTTATTTATTTATTTGTGCACAATGCTGTCGATGACGCTCTAGTGGGCGGAACCCTCATTAGCATACCCCCACCCCTTGAAACCACACCCTCACACTGCTCATAAGCTCTCCTGCAGTGGCTAACTAGCATCTGATGACTAAACAAACACACACACTCACATACATACACACACACACACACACACACACACACACAATATATACACTCTTTTCACAGTCAAAAGGGTTACAGTGTATTAGTACAAAATGTGGTAACACTTTGTTTTGGTAGTCTGCCACTGAATGTGCCTAAATATCTAACAATCACTCTTAAAGACACTCTAACCCTAAACTTAATCCTAAACAATCAAACTTTTTAAATTCTAATCCTATTCCTAAACCTGGTCCTAATCCTAAAGACTTTAAGAAAAAAACTGATTTTGACCAGATGATTTGTTAATAATTTGGGCATGTGTAGAACATTTACAAAACACTAGCCATACAAAGTGTTTCTTTATCTCTCACTACATTGTACAGTCTTAAAAAAATAAAGGTTCCTAACTGGTTCTTGGCTCGGATGTGTGGTTCCAGGAAAAACTTTTAATTGGTATAGTACCTTTAGATTATGTGGGGGTTTAAACTTTAGAAGCTTCACATTCACAAATCTTATTTACCAAAGTGGTTCTTCAGAGAAGCATCCACTGAAAGGTTCTTGAGGGAACCAAATGTGCTTCTTCTATGGTATTGCTCCAAAGAACCCTATTTGGCACCTTTACTTATACCCTTACATATACATAATACATGGCATCCATAGTTCCATAGTATCCATAGAACTTTTTAAGAAAACTGATATCTAGGAAAAAACTAAATATATGCTACTTTATGTCGTTGCGAGTAAGAATAAAAAGTTATGTTTTTAATATAATTTATGCATGAAAGGATCAAGGTATGAAGTCCTAAGCCAAAGCTGAAATCATGCAGAAAGAACTTTCTTTTTCAGTGTGTATCCAGTCACTTCATTTTCAGCACATGCTGTCCATGGACACTGAAAGGGCAGTTTTTAGCGCTGCACTGTCTCTAACCCACCATGCCAGAGCAGTTATCCTTTCATCTATCAGCGTTAGCCTTTCTGCCTCATTTCCCTCTCCCCTACGACTCTGTTCCAGGCCACGACCGTCTCCTCCCCTCCATCCCTCACTCTCTCCCCCACCAACCTCATCTGCACTCCCCCCTCAGCCTCTAATGTGGCAGCCAAACCAAATTGACAGGCTCATCTCTGCCCAAAAGCTGGAGGCGGCGTCTCCTGAGAGGCCATTTTGAGTCTGCAGAGGAGGCGGAGGAGGAGGAGTGTGGCTCCTAATGCGTCTTGTCCCGGGAACGTTAATCATCTTTAGCCGGCGACGGCCCCGCCGCTAAATGACTCGTAATGCCAAGTCGAAAAAGGGGGAAGGAAGGAGAGTCGCGTTAACCCGATGATGAGGAGGTGCTTTGTTTTCTTCTCCTGTTTTTTTTTCTAACCTCTGTAATGTTCAGATTGCTCTGGAACATTAGAGAACGTACTGTAGTGGGCCGATGAAGGTGGACATCATTAATCACCTTTTGTGTTTTACTGCCACCTTAACCAGCCTCCTTGGAGCTACTGAGAAGATTCCAAATACTAAACTCTATACAAACTTACTGACCATCAAAAGTCTGGCCATTTTAAAACATGTTTCTAATACAGACAATCATGTTTTCTTTGTCAGTTTTGTAGCTCCTTACCATTTTAAAGCCTGATCAGGTTTATTTAGAAAAAAAAATGTATTATCAGTGCCAGTATTTGTGACAGTGCTACATTGGATATAAATTCAAAGTCCTGTCCATTTTGCCTGTTTGTTGTGATCTCAAACATTTCAGATCTTAACCACCATTGGACCAAGAGAGTAGAAAGACAATAAAGAATATGTGCTTTCAACAGTGGTTTCAAAAACTATCAAATCATCATCATTATTTATCATCATTATTTTTTTCTTACTGAATTTGTCCCTTAACTGAAAAGTAATAATGCTAAAATTGAAATTTGAAATGAAGACAAGGTGTATATCCACACTTTTGATGGTCAGTAAGCTTGCAATGAGCTTGCACTGCAGCTGGCTGCACCCCTGTGGGTGAGAAAGGGAGGAGGCATCTCAGATATAATTAACCTTCACTCTCCCTGTCCGCGCCTGCTACTCGCATGGGGCTACCGGTCTGAACATTAGTGAACCACAGGGATCTGGAGCCAGGTACACACTCAGGGTCATGGCGACAGAAAAAAAACAGGCTCACTCTGAAATATAGCGAGAGGCGGGAGTAAATAAATAATCATAAATAAATAAATAAATAAAAGATAAGAGCCCATCTTTGTTTTAGGAAACATGATTAACGAGGATAATAACAGGCATGATTACTGGTTCGCTTGTGTTTCCAGCAGTTAATCATGCTGCTTCTCCGCTGCGGATCCTCACCCTCAACAATAAATATGCAATCATTTACCTCCGTGCGGCAGGAGGCCGAGGAGCATGTGGCACGAACCCATGCTGAACGCAGGAACAGCAGTGCAGGATGTTCAGCGGTATTGTGTTACTCTCTCTCTACTGTTACGCATTGCTACAATCCGGGTGTTCTACATACTCGCAGACTTTTCATCAAAGCTTGAATCACCAGCAGCGGCACCATTCGATTTTTTCCAATTCAGTAGTGGTGCTTTCTAACCCTGGCATTTATGTAATGCAGTAGAACGTGTGAAATTTTGTGGAATCTAAAACATAATGACTCACTCAATGCATAAATTATGTCATTTTCAAAAATATATTTGTGGCACCAATTTACAGCGTCTGCATTATTTCAGGTTAACACCCCACTCATTTGAGAACAGGATGTGCTTGAGAAACTTTAGACTTCCTGCTCAGAGCTCATTTACAAATCAGCATGTGGAGGGAGTCAGTTAGCGCTGCATTTAAGAGTTATTAATGCACAGATATACATTTAGCATACATTATTTGGGTGTTACACGAGCATTATTATTGTAGTCAAGTGTTTACTAACTGTTCTGCTTACAAAATAACAAATACAAATAAAATTGGAAATAATTTGACGAACATGGCTTGGTTCAGGCTGGTAAATTGCTCTTTACTAATGCTAAGCTGACACCCCTGATTTGTACTGTAAGTACATAACTGACATTTTACTGTGACAGGCCAATAGCCGATGAAGTGTGCGTCAGGCTGAGTTGTTTAGGGCTGTGATACGTACGTGCAGAGTTAGACACACAAACCCCTGGATTCCTCTGGCCGTCCTCCGATACCTTTCTGCTGTTTTAATACCCCTCAGTTCTCAGGAACAGCAGCTTTATAATACCTCCCAGATGCCATGAGGAATTTAACCGCCAAAAAATATGGAAACAATAGAGTGTGCTTTTAGGGCAACACGGTCACATCCAGGGAAAAAAGACAGCAAAAAAAGTGGGGCTCTGTGTGTTCACAGCAGCGCTCGTCCTTTCCTGCTCTGTTCTCTTGACCATATGTGAAAGCGCTTATGTTTTCCCAAGGAATTTATACACTCCTGTTCTGAGCGTTGGAGTCAAACTGTCACACGCACCTCCACTCGGAGCCAAACGCTGTGACAGGCCTTTCACTGCGGGTGAAAATGAGAGAGCTCTGGCATGACCTGAATATCTGTTTCGAGAATACAGCAAATATAGGGCAATACAGTGTGGTGTATCATCAAGTGCTGCATGTGCAATCTCAGTGAGTAAAGTCGGGGGTTATCGTACTTTTGCGGTTGTAGGCATCAATCACCGAATAACTTAACGATTGCTTCTTTTTCTTTTCAGAAGAGTGCCCCTGTACGTGCTGATTACAGTAGCTACCATGCAGAGACTACCTTTTCCCCCAGTGCCTCTGGCAGGAATCTCCCCCTCTATTTGTGCTAATGGATTTCTGTGCTGCTAAGTGTTTCCAGAAGGGACATTAGGAAGCTGCAGCAACAGCACATGCAAGTACAAACAGCAAAGCCCTCACAAAGAAGGTCTCAAAACACACGGCCCATCAAGAAATTTAAGGACAACTTGGCTTCTTTCGGAAATTTTGCGACTGATTTTCACTGTTCTCAATAAGTAAGAAAAATACCTGCAAAGGTTTAGTTAGCATGAAGCAGGTTTGTGCTAAGGTTAAGGTAGCATGAAGCAGCTATGTGCTAACACTTTCGCTCAGCTTCATCAAAGTGTCTTCCTTGGTATGAAGAGCAGTTTTTAAACAATGAATAATGATTTCACAGTATTCTTTTCCAAACTAGTGTTAAAAGTGTATACTGAAACTCTTTTGGCCCAAAGGTGGATTAAACACCTGAAAGGTTTGATTGCTGATGGGTGCTGACTTCACAACAAGGGAAACAATGTATGGCCTTTGGCTTTATTCCCAAGGTAGCAGTGTCGCTAATATTTCTCAGCTTTATAGCTTTTACAAAGAAAAAATGGCAAATATTCTATTGAAACACATCTTCAATATTGCTAGTTATTGCGAACCAGCAAAAAACATATTCATTTGTATTAAAATCTAGATGTCCTCAAAATATGATAGACAGTGTATGATGGTATACTTTAAAGATCAGCAGTAAAAAGGACAGAAGTATCAGTTGATCTTACTAGTGTGGTCATGTGAAAGTCTCCTATCAATCGTGCAGTCAGGCCATGCTGTGGTTTATATTCAACAGAATGTAGCTCTCTTACAAATCCTAATTTTAAATCTACTTGCGTTTGATGATGTCCCCTCGGGAAAATTAGTGAACGTTGATGTGAATGCACAAAGGTGTCATCTTTTCCCTGTTGTCTTTGCGTTTGTAAATGTACATTTGTATGCCTACTGATCTTTGTGTGCGTACCTCTTTGTTAATGCATGACTGCGTGCACTGGTGTGTGTGCATGTGTGTGTTTTCTGTGTGTTTGGGTGCATCTGTCAGGGTGTGTGCCCTATTTGCGTGCCTCTTCATTTGCGAATGAGACAGCAGGGCTGCTCATGCCTCGGGGCACTGGGTCCCCGCGGCCTTGTCAAAAGCAGCACGTTCAGAGCACCTTCAATAACGCTGCCTGTCACACACACACGCACACATACACACCTCTGCAATCGGCACAGCTGCATCAGGGTAGAAAGAACACTTGCACCTTGTGCATGAAAAACATACGAACATCCCTCCACCTGCCTTCCCCTGTGCTCCGCAGTCATTGGTGCTGTTTACAGTGTACTAATGAACGAACATGGCTGGGAACAGATGCCACCGCACTCAGGAACTTAATAAAAGCTTGTTTTGGAGAGATGGAGCGAGGGAGAGAGGGAGGGAGGGATGCTTGCATTGAAGGCAGAACAACTGAGCACCTCAGAGAGGCTTTTGTTTGCAAATTACAGTGAAGCGGGGGAGGACACACACTTATGCACAAGCTCTCGATCTTTATTATCTAAATAAAACTGTCACTTGTCACCAGAGAAGACTAGAAAAGGCAGGTTCTTATCTCCTCTCCATAGGAGTGAATGAGATGAATGAGGGTATTTTTTTCTTCCTCTAGAGTGCCTAAATGTGCCATGTGTCATTATGGTAAGGGTGGTGCTGTCTAATGTGCTCTGCTCTTTTACTAGAGATAAAGAGAGATGCATTTCACTGTGAAAGGGACGCTAAGTCGAATTTCTTTCTAAAACACTTTCACAGTGCAATAACTGTACCACGCAGGAAGAAAAGACTTAACTAAAAATACAAACTGCTTCTGTCCATGGTGGTCCAGGGAATGTTTTATGATTTGTAAATGAACTTACACTCTAAGACACTACTGCAAGAGATCCGTTCTGTGTAGTGATTTGGTTGAAGACAGTTAAGGCCTTTACACACAGAATGTGACAAAAATAACTGCCAAAAAAAAAATCACAAAAATAATTAGTGAGCGAATAAAAGAACGCCATCTGAAAAACTGCATTTGGTGTGCTAGCTGTAAATGAATTTGAATTAATGTATTGATGTTCAAATAAATCATGTTTTGTGTATAAAGGCCTTTATTCTGGCAACTTTTAGTTTCTGATGCTGTTAGGGTCTGTACTTTCAGTGGCAAAGCTGTTTGTCTGGCCTGTGACTTCAACATGTGTGACGGAAGGCCGCCTACTTGCCCGTCAGCACAGGTGTATTCTGAGGTCTGCGTACAGGGAATGTGTTAACAACCGCACAGAACGGCCCACACTTCCTGATGTGTTAATGAATGCAGCGGAGTTGACAAGCTGCAGCCTCTGCTAATAAATGCACGCCTTCCTGAGTGTGACAGGTGAGCGGCTTCAGGTAACCAGCCTATCAGTGCATTAAATAAGTGTCTGTATCCCTGAGCCTGCATTGACATCACGCTGCCTCTGAATGTTAACATGACAGGCAACACATACCATAGCAGTTACCACGTCATTAGCAGGGTAATAATTACTTTCCCCCACATGTGCAGTCACAGGTAAAGACAAAATTGGGACCTCATAGAGAGCAATTAATTTTTATCTAATAAGAAAATAGGTCATGATGGGTCTAACTTACCTGACAGCTAAGTGTGTCTACCTACAGATTTAATTACTATTGTAATTGCAAGACAATAAACAGCACATCATTAGCAGGAGAAATAAGATATGCATCTAACCAACCTATTTTAATCTAATTCTCACTAAAGCTGCAATAAAACAACTGTATTTAAACAGCAATAAAACTCTGTATTTATGTTTTTGTTTTTGTTTGGTGTGTGTGTGTGTGTGTGTGTGTGTGTGTGAAAGTCTCACCTGTCTCGGCTTCGTCGGGAAGGGAAAGCAGCGTTACAGCCGGCCACAGTACAAACATGCATCTCTTTCAGGTGCACGTTTTTGTAGTGCAGTTTAACACTGTAGGAGCTCTTGAAGCTCTTCTTGCAGACGTAGCAGATTTTGGGGTCAGGACTGGAGCACAAGTCACCCTCGGGGGACTGGGAGTGGAACTTCGGGGGACTTGAGCCATAGCCCATTGAGGAGATGAAGCTTTCATGCAAGGCGGCCATGCTAGCAGTGGCTGCAGCCGCGGCAGCCATCCCACCGTTGTACAGGCCATACTGACCCATGCAGAACATGTCATACGTGGGGTCACTGAGTTCTTCTTTGATTTTGATCACTGGCTGATGCGGAGAGGGTGAGGAATGGCTCTTATCCTCCAGCTCTTTCCGCAGGTGACCTTCTTCCTCTCCTTCTTCCTTTTCTTTGTCCAGACCTCCTGAGGTGTTGCGCTGCTCTTCAACATCCATCATCTCATCACGGTAAAACATCTTGGATTCAGATGTTTCGGATTCATTCTCAAAGTCACGTTCATGGTCCTGATCTTCAGAGGTGAAGCTATCCATGCATCGCAATTCACTGGTACCTCCATCGCTAGTGCCTCCACGGCACTCGTCTTGATCTGGCCGCAGCATACCTCTCAGTGCCAGGCTTGGACTCATCTCATCCTGCGAAGGTGACTGGTGTCCACTGCCTCCACTCAAGTGACCACTGCTGCTGTTGTTGTTGTTGTTGCAATTACCGTTAATGTTATTGTGAAGATGGGATGGAGGATGACGGTGGTGGCAGCTGTCATCATCATCATCGTCTTTGTCATCATAATCATCTGCCACGTCAATCACTTCTTTCTCAATCTTAACAGGCATGCTCGACTTGCGGGGCTTCTTTTTAGGCGTGGGGTCTGTGGTGACTGGATCTGGGGCACTAGGGTTGGTGGAAAGGTGGTGAGATACAGCCCCTGTCCCTGTTTCAGACAAATGGGAGTGGTTGGAGCTAGCAGCTAAGATCTGTTGCTGTTCCATGAGGGAAGTGCTGTTCGTGGTGGTGGGTAAAATTGGACTGGTGGGCAGGGATACTGGAGGACTAACCATGTCAGCAGGAGAAAGTAATGTACGGTAAAAAGGTGGCACAGGCTGTACGGGCTGCACAGATTTCAAGGAAGGGAAGACCAGAGGACTCTGCAGGGGGCTCTGCATCATGGAGTCAAGAGGAGGAGTGGCAAAGCCTAGCGGTGGTCGTCCAGGACTAGTTAAGCTGAAGCCAGTTTTGGCGCTAGAGATGACGGGCGTGGCTGTGCCAGAGCTTGAGCGGATGAGGTCCTTATCTCTGTTGTTCCTAAGCATGGGCATGTGGAGGCGAGGATTGGGATTAGCACTGTGACGATTGCGGCTCCGCAGTGAGCTGAAGACCATGTTGCACCCCTCAATGGTGCAGCGGTGCTTGATCTTCAAGTGCACAGCATTGTAGTGGATCTTCAGTGTGCCCTTGTCATAGAAGGTTTTTCCGCAGGCATTGCAACAGACGCGACCTTTGCGGGAGGGCGTGCCCATGCGACGCATACGGTGCATCTTGGAGGAGAACGAAGAGTGGGACATGTTCTTTGACTGCTCACTCTTTACAAAGTGGTGATGGGACTGGTGGTCATTCAGGGCATTGGACTGCTGCTGCTGCTGGGCCTGAGTCTGCTGCTGTTGTTGCTGCTGTGTCTGCTGTTGCTGGGCTTGCTGTGCAACTGGGGTTGGGGTGATTGGCGATGCTCCATTGGGCTCTGTTTTGGGCTCAATGGAATTGGGCAAGACTCCCATGGTGCCTCGACTCGGGCTCTGACTGCTGCGAAAGGGTGAGAGAGATACTTCTGACTCACTGCTTTCCACCGGCTCACTCTGGTTGGGATGGTTTGGCTCACGAAGTCTGAGTGCTGCCTGGTCGAGAGCAAGCCCATTAGGTGGCAGGCCCAGCATAGGTGCTGAAACTGGGTTGATGTATTGGAAGGGCAGCAGGAAAGCCAAGCTGTTGGGGATGTTCTCAAAGTGGTGGATGCTGGAAGGGCTGTTGTTCTCCAAGTGTGTGAGAAGACCAGGACTGCGGGTACGGTTGTTGCTTTCGATAAAAGTCCTGATGCCGGAGTCAGTCTTTGACGAGGGAACTGTGACTGCCTGGCCTTCTTTCTCTTGGATCGCCATCAGCTCTACAATGGATTTGGTCTCACCGAAGCGCAGGAACTGCTGCAGGGTAATGATCTCCTCTTCACGGGACATGATGGTCCAGCGGTCCAGCACCTTGCCTGCAGCATCCTAGAGGCCATATCAAAGAGAGAAAAGAAGACAAACACAAAAACTTATTGATTCTGCATAATAACTTCAGTCTGAGGAGGAGGAGGGTGAGGGCAGAGGGTAAGGAGAAGGGCGAGATTTGCCAGGGAGAGGAAGTTTCCCTGGAGCGACATATGAAGACTGATAATGGTGGTTTCCATTGAATCGCTCCAGCCGCGTCATCCTCTCCACCACCTCTTCTCCTCCTCCTTTAGTCTTAATCAGCCATGCAGATGCAGCCATTAACTGCACAGTGAGGAGACCCAGGCACAGCTCCATAAACTTTCTTCCAAACAAAGGGAAACTGCTGGGGCTCGGTTATTAGCGGGTCACAAGCAAGACAGTGATATATAGCTTGTTAGACCATTTAACAAAAACATCTCAAATAGATGTGAACTCTCACTGAGCCTCCCTATGCCCACACAGGCACATAGACAGCCCACCACTATTTATGTCTGGTGACAGTCAGGAAAAGAAAGCTGCTAAAAGACACAAAAGATTAATTGGGGCAGACCTACTAATCTCACCTGATTGGATTTTTTTATTCACCTGATGCATTCTGGCTTTAAATATTTTCATTTATTTCCTTATTCTATTTTAATTTAATGTTTGAAGAAAAAATCTTTGTTTCACAAGAAGTGATGTTGGATGTAAAAATAAGGAGCTCATGTTTATTTAAGCATGTCTTTGAAGAAGCCTTGGAGGTGACAGCAATCTTGCATTACATTCATTAGGGAGGCTGTGAATCAGTATTTACCGAGCTTTATGTTAATGGAGTTTAGAGGACGCACGTCTTGCGTCAGATTAAATATTAATGAAGGCATACTTTATCAACAGGATGGTGTCAACTAAAAATGCATGCACTAGCATATATACTATTTGCCTTCGGGGGCACATGAAATGATGTAAATCTTGACGTATCCCTAACTGGCCTTGCCTTTTTCTTTTGCGGCACTAGAAGCGTGGGAAAGAAGTTTCCATCTTGTGAGAGCGGTATTGCTCCAGGAGGAGAAATAAGCACCACTTCCAGGGAGCTCTTTCCTTGGCCGGCATTTTAGGAGATGGTGTTATTAACCACTGAAAAATAAAACGGTTTGAGTTTTGCACACTTGGCCACTGTCAGATGTTGAGACATGGCAAGGGACTCTGGGAATGGAATCTTGGCAGTGTCTAACTTCTAGCTTTGTGGTTAGGCCTGTAACTGCGATGCGCAAAATATTTGACCCAATGTTTCGCCCCTCTGGACCCCCACCCCTTCTCCGGTGCCCTTACTGGTTTCCTTCACGGCATCACCTTTAAATCTTTCTTGGCTCTTGCAGGGACTTGCCAAGGCTAACTGGACTTTATCGAGTGAGGATGATGCAAATGCTAAATGGTACATTTTCATTCTCTGCAGGAACTGGCACTTGAGCTTTTATGGGGTTTTTTAAGGCACAAAGAGCAACAGACATAAGTGTTTTAAGTCACTAGCCAGGTCGCATGCACTGGATGCCTGTAAATGTTATTGGGCGGTCATTTGCACCGGCTATGATGCAGTAAGTGTGCCACTGTGATCCCGCTGTGCTGCTACGAGTGGGCGTGCAAGAGGCAGACAACTCTAACAGGAGAGAGAAAGGGAGCGAGCGAGTGTTTGCTCTTCGCATAAATGCTCCAGTTTACCCCGCACAGGGCCTCTGAGACTCCCCACGTCCCCGAGAAGGGCGACATCAAGGGAGCGACGCTCACTCTGATGACAATTAGATACGACGCAAAACCCGTCTCGGTCTGGCCCTGCCTGCTAGGATCTATGAATGATAAATGGCAACTCTGGAGTTTAAGAGCTGTAAAAACCAACAGCAAAAAGCACGAAAGGGCCTTTAAGGCGCAAGCAGAGAATAAATGTTTAAAGAGAGAGGGAGAGTCAGAGAATAGGGGAGAGAGAGGGAGAGAGAGGAAAAGAGAGAGAAAGATATAGTGAAAAAAGAAAGAGAAGAGGGAATACAGAGCGGTTTCACAACAGCATGCCCTCAGAAATTGAAGACAGATTAATTCTTCAGAGACGGCACATCAATAGTCACAGGAGTATTTGTTGTTAAATATACATTAAAAAACATTTTACACTTTCATTCCGTGTGTGAGTATGAGTTTAGCCTGGAGGTAAGACTTTAAATTTCAGCCTCCACACTATTATGTTATACCGCTGAGCGGTTTGGGGTCGTAAATTTCCATTTGATTTAATTGAAGGGAAAAAAATTAAAGAAAATTAGAAAGTGAATTTTTAAGTAGAAATAAGAAATATATTTAAAAAGCTAAAAAAAGAACCACTGTGGAATGTTTCAGCAATTCCTGAAGAAAGAAATATTCTTTATCTGTCAGTGCCTCTCCAGCTCTCCAGCTATATATATATATATATATATATATATATATATATATATATATATGTATATAATTTTTCCCCTTTACTCCTTTTCTTAACACACACACATACACAGCACAGTTTGGACCGTCAACAGCTTGAGCGTATAAAAACACTGCCCAAAAAGGGCAGACTGCAATGAATAATGACACTTTCCCCATCGACGCTAAAATGCATGAAAGCGAATTCTCTGTTTTCACATATATTTGTGTTACTGTGTAAATAGCCTTTGAGGGGCCATAATAGGGCCAGACTTGAAGAAGTTTGTGTGTGTGTGTATGTGTGTGTGTGCACGCTCCACAGCTGGAGAGCAGCTCTAAGCAGGCTGATCCTAATCAGAGATCACAGGCTCGTTCATCACTCTGGTCTTTGCCCGAGCGCTCGGGGATGCCGCTATCAGCACCCAGCCTGCTATTAGGCTCTGAGTGAAGAGATTAAACACTCCGAGAAATACACAGCGTCCAAGTTCAAAGCTGCAGGAGGCTGCAGGCCACAAGGTGCATGACGAAAAGCGGTGTGTGTGTTCGGCAAATCGCATTCTGGCATTTTGTGAAAAATAATTATTTGGAGTGTATTAGAATAGATTTTTATGTGAAAAAAGAGAAAAAATCGCAATGTGTTAAAATAATTTGTTTATATTTTCTCTTAATTATCTTCTTTTCCCAGGCTCATATAGACTGTCGCTGTCATTAGGAAATCTCAAAAATCTGATTTTTTTTTCTTCTTTTATTATTCTTCTATTACACAGTTTAGGCCAACTGTCCTTTACATTGTATGAGCACTTCCTCAAGGATGAACCAATAGAAACAATCCAATATGATGTGGAATAAAATGTAGTAACTTTCAAAAGATTCATCACAATAACAAAATAGCATCAAGATATCATCACAATATAATTTCTGATACCAATCAGATATTTTTCTTTTAAGATTTCTAAGCTTTAAAAAGAGCTATTTTTAGTTCATTCAGATTCAGATTTTTTCCCTCCAATATCCCTGCACAGCATTTCCGCTGATGTCAGGCTGATAACCTGGTATGGCAATGGGAACATCTCTAATGAGTTTGACAAACAGTGCCTCAACACTTTCAGAGGAGAATGGTAAGCAATTCATTCAGAATATAATCAGATTGGCCCACCGCATGTCAATTGGAGATGGAGGAGTCACAGAGTATTTTCCTTTCAGTCAAACTGCAGCCAGTTGTGTTCTTGGAAACCTCTAGAAACCCCTGTCCATGGACGGCCAAAGGAATGTCGTTATTTTAATACCGAGCTATTTACATTGAATTCAGAGTCGGTGACCTTAGCCGCAATTCAGCCCTGCTTTTCAAACAAACCTGACATGGCCAAGTATCACTTATAAGCTTATCTCATATTTTCCCCCCTCCTCTTGTTGTTCAATCAGAGTACAGCGGACAAGACGACGTTTTGGGCCGTAATGTTTACCAAATGGAGTTGGTTAGAGACGCTGGGGCCAGCCAGCTGTCACGATACAGGTCACAGGCTGCTCCATGTTGGAGGGGCTGTACAAACACACACCCCGTCTACGCTTCCAGAACAAGACTGGGCCCAAGTCCGGCTCCAAACATGCAGGGAAACTCAAGCTTTGCGTGAGCCGCACACCACAACATGGCGCGCAATTCGGAGGGGGACAAGCTTGACTGGAGTTCAGCTCCGCAGAGAAACATCATGTGCTTTTGGTTAGGTTTAGGAACCTTTCATTATCGCAATCGACCCGCTTCTATACCTTTTGGGTATTCGCTTTCCGACGCAGGAAACTGGAGCCGAACCAAAGTTTAACCCATTGAGCTTCACGGACATCCACATCTTAAGGTTCATTTTTCAGTAATTACAATGCAGAACTGTTGAATTATTAATTCTTATTTATATTCTGTATTGACAGTTTGCCTTTTTAATGTTTGTTTCAGGGCCAGAAAAGACAAAAATGTTGCAAAAACAACAAACATCTTTTCCTCAAATTCAAATAATAATAAAAATGTCTTACAAATGTGGTATTAATTGAAAGTGAAAATCTGTACTTTAAACAGAATTTCTCCTCCTGTTTCAACAACTGTGAGTGAGAAATAATGCAAATTTGCAGAAAGGTGTGAGAAAGAGCCATCTTGACCCTCTGGCAGGTCAGTGAATGCTAAGGGGTTAAACAGGGTAGGAGATGTGCTGCATTACATACGTATGTGCGATGATAGAAATACGCACACACAAATCAGTCCCCCTGTCTTTGGTCTTCGGCCCACTCCCCTACATTAGCCAAGAGAGCAACAAACCTGCCATTAGAAGCACTTTTACAGCTAGGCACTCATCTCCCAATTAGCTTAATGTGGCCTCTTTCTATGCATTCTGCAGATATTCAAACCCCCCTCCCTTCCTTAGAAACCTCATTACTGCCCCCCTATGCGCCCCCCAGCGCTAAGACAGATTAGCTTGTCATTACGCATCCCTGAGTCCTGTACAAAAGTGCTGTTTGTGAGGTTAATGACAATTAGCTAATAATTACGCCGCTAAGTCGTAGCGTCCACTCTATCTATCTGCTGGTTGCAGTGGTGTGTGAGATGCCACTGTGTCACCCCA